ACGAAAAACAAAATTTTRCTTTATCTGTACTTTATTTGAAATATTGCTGGAGTGGTCATCATTCTGGTGAAAAACTACGGCCTAAATGTTTACGGTCAATCGTACTTCAGTAATTACTTTTACGGAAGTAATTTTAAAACTCTTTATGGATACGTAAGGTCACGGTAGTCAATTACGTAACGTACTTACGGTTTTGATATGATTAGTCCCAGTTGCGTAACACCAACATCGCTTTAAGCGCTTTCTTTTTTAAAGTGCCGTATTTGGATCTGAAAAAGATGCGCGATATTTCAGACTATGATGTAAGAATGACGAACTTTTTGTTATGGCTGGAATCGTTGGTGTACGTGATCTCGATGCCATAGTTTATGTTCTACGACTGGCGGGAGGTTACTAATTGTCTAGACTAAAAGGCATTGTGGGAATGACAATGTTTTTGTGCTACACTGTACATGCTATACTACTTCACTTAATAAATAACAGATAACYATGTGCAGTAATGATAATAACTTCGAATTGTTTTATCTTTAAACTATACGAAAATAAAGGAACTATCAATAGYTTTTATATCACTTTGACAGATTTGAATGAATAATTATTATGAGTGCGTGATATCAGAGACTAAAAACACGAYGAATTCAAGAGATGGTATCACAGGTTTGATTTATCGGCTTAAAGGAAAGTGTTTTTTAGCGCGGTTTTGTAACGTTTTACTAAAAATAAAATAGTCCCACTAAAAATGCACAACAATGATGAATAAAAAAGAAAATTTCAAAAAGTAAAGACGCAAATTTGCACTGTTATATCAAGCTATATGAGAAGGTAAAAATTCAAAAATGAAGAGAAACCCTCCACTGTCATAGAATAAATGTATATGCATAAATTACAAAAAAATATTAGACCAATAAACTAAATCAAATGACACCGGGCGGGTTCTTCGTGTTAATCATGTAGGATTCTAAAAGCATTGCCATGGCTACAAGCGTTCCAACAAAGAAACACGTGATTCAGGTGTTTTGGACGTAAAACTAAATCAGCCAATCAGATTGCTTCAAAGTGTCATGATGTCATAGGGCTAATGGTATTGAGACAGATCTTAATTACGTTGAGGTCAGCAATTTTAGTCCGAGATGAAGATAAGAAACATCGCTCAACCTATTTACCGAATGCTGTCACGTACAAGGTTTACAGATTTGCAGATGTCAGTATTTTTTGTGAAAAACAACGGGGTTAGAAATGACAATCAGATTCGAAAATTGGCCCTCACTTATGTATTAGCGTTCAAATGATTTATATTTCACATAAACGCAACCTTTTTTATTTTTTATATTTTCATTTTTTCAAGATGACAGTGTTGACTAGCTACCTGTATATGACAACAGTCAGAGTGTCAACATTTAAGCTTTCGATACTGACAACGTTTTCATTAAAAGCCAAGTGTTTTCCATTAAAACTGGGATGTAGCTCATGTACAACACATTATTAGAAAGCAACAAACATTATACTTGAATTCAACCAAGTTATGGTTTTTTATAGTAGCGTTTTTGCCAAGATATCGGTTTTCAACCAAGTGTTTCTTCCTTTAAACTTTATTCTAAGACATGCATTTATTAGAACAAAAACTAGATATTGAGGTGCTGCCGTTAGTAACGTTACTTTGAGTTTTTTTTAGTTGCCACATTATGCACTCGTCTCGTCTCGTCGCCGGAATGTCGTCGCGACACGCTGGGAATTCCTCAGTACACGCACGTGCCAGACTGGGAACAAACTGTGCATCTAATCAACTGTTTTAATGAAATATTTCGGCCCTGTTTCCATATTGTTTAATGTTTGTTGACAGCCATACAGATATTGGATCGTCTACTTACGCATGCTTTTTGAGAATACCGAATGAATACATGATCGAAATCACATGGTGATTAAACGTTCTAGAACGTCATGAATTAACAACTTATAAAAATTGACAATAAATACTACAAACAAGTGGTGTAAATGATATAAATGAGACAAATAGAATCAATATTTGTTTACATAGTTTAACAGCGATATAATTTTATCATATAGTTTTTGTCCAGAAAATTCATGACCTCCATGGGTGGACCTTCCACCATTGTTCTAAGAAGGATACGTTACAACGCATTCGTTGCTGTCGACTTARAGTTGGTTTGTCTTCACGAAATGACACTCTTCATACTTCTTTGTTTTTATTAGTTTTTAGAAAGTCAATGAATTGAAATAGATCATACCAAACTAAAACAGACAATCAAGACGACAATTATTATAACCTSAAAAAACTGTCCCAGTTGTCGATTCACACAATACTAATTACAACTTTTTGAACGTCCTACTTCCAACCAATCAAAACTCGAGTTTTGCGCTTTTCATGATCACATGACTAAGAGTTTCCGTGATATTTATTGGCTGCATGTGGAGTGAGAACGTGCTCCACGTGACTACAATGTTGACTAATACAAAGGTCAATGTCAGATCGTCCCAAGGACAAATTATAAGTCTGTCAAAATTAAGTCTACATTGTCAGAAATAAAAATTGAATTATATTGATAAAGTATTTTTGTGAATATTGATGTGACGATTTTTTTCAACTGAAGTCGATTGTCGAGATGTTCAWGGGAGACCAACGTTACTTTGTACCGCGCTTTTGACGCGTGCTGTCGGGAAGATGAAACAWTGTTTGTTGGTTATAACACGGTGATATCAGTTTATCGCTAGTACACAAGTTACTTTTGGTTGGCTTTGTGAAACCGAATGAAAACTAAACAACGTGACAGAACGTACAATTGGAAAAAGAAAAATCGCAAATTGCAACATTGTTCGAAGGTTGAACATTCAAATAAAAGTAAAACAATTKTATTGTTTAGTTGCGGTAATTATACAACTAATTAGAAAGTTTTGATGCAAGAAAAAAACGATTACTATGTTKAATAATAAGCTCTTCTTAGCGTAGAAAAATTGAGTTAWAATGCTCAAAAAGATAGCATTGCTTTGARAAGATAAAAAAGGGGCTTGGTCTGAAAATTGCAACAGCTCAGTGGAAAGATTATTAAACRAAAAACGGGATTGCAGACCGTGCAGAGTRTGAAATCATCTTGTMAAATTCTAATAATMTTCTGCGCAGATAAAAGAAAGGAAAGTGAATTCGAAAGAAAAAGTAAACAGAAGAGCGCAGAGTGAAATGGGGGAGATTCATCGTTTCAGATTGAGTAAATTAAAATCAAAATCGAGAGAGTATCAAAGACCTCATTAGTATCTAAGAACGAACGAATCCAGGCTTGGAAAATGTCTAGACAAAGTCTTCCCTCCAGCCAACCACTTCATGATCCAGTAGTTGACCTAGAAGTTAATAAACGATTCTCTTCTTTCGTGATGTGCTCTAATTACTACAATAATGTTGGGACGAGCTTATCTCAATCGGTCCCCTTACCACTAATTGGGCTCGAATTATCGCTTAGAAAAAACTGTGGCACGCAAATCAAACGCGAACGCATTTATGAACAGTCAATGAATGGTTTGCTACCTTAAACTAGCATGTTGATAATACCACATCATTATGTGCTCCTGAGAGTTACGTGCAAGATTAATCTCTCACGGAAACCGCGCACACTTCTAAGCATTTCCTTCTGACTTTAAGAACATGAAACTATAGATTCACAAACACCGTGGTTTGATGGTCTGATTTCACAGCAAAAAATCGCAAATTATTAGGCTACGTTGAACAATAATGCACTTGTCTGCCATATCCATTTAGAGACTGCCAGCGGCTGTTCAAAGTAATCATGACGCCTTACGCACCTCACGAATCACACGTGGAATCACGCAGAATCTTGCGCGCACGGCAGACGAGTATAAAATGAGCTGTTTACAAGCAAATTGCATCCATAAGCTCACTACCGTTAGAACAGACACGACAGAATTGCTCATTGTTTTTCAGAGGAAGTATACATTGTTGCTTGCCAAAAAGCCATCCCAATCAAAACATAAAAACATATAAAAGAAGACTGGCGCATGCGTGGTACATTTGATGAAACCTCCTTCCCTCCTACTGCGAAAGACTTGACTTAATCTTCAATCAACTTCGGCAACGCGCGGTTCAAGATCAAAAACAGAGTTCTCCGTCGCACACCGGTGCTATAACTTGTACCAAAACAACGGTAGCAGCGTTTCAGCAAACGACATAGCTACTAAGGGCACCTGGTTTGATTCTATTTGGTTATATTCCGTGAAATTTCGACCAATTTTCACGAGAGGAAAGTGTAAAGCGAGGTTTGTAGCGAATATGTTTCTTGAGTGTGATGTTGTGTTTATTTCCTGCAAAGGTGATTACTCTAATGCAGCCATCTTAGCGTAAAAATCAACTTATCCAMGAGGATTTTACGAGCTGTTCTTGTAGTAAACATATGAGCTAGTATGAGTCATGGGGAAGCCCCTGTTTAAGGCATAGATCCGGTAAAGGGCGTGGAGCGTCGGTGCTCAACAATCCTGGTCATTCTCGCTTAACTACTGTGAATTTCTGAAAACTTTATGACCTAAAGCTCTCCTAAAGGGTCGTGCAGTCTTCATTTAGCAAGGCTGATTTGCRATGATGAGTTTTCTCTGGTAAATATCGTGATTATTGCAAGCCTGCATTCGACTACGCGATACCTTGATGCACCAATCAGGACGAAGGACACTATAGTTACGTAAGCAACACGCAGTAGAAAAAACGAATTGTATTCCAGCGAAACAGATTTTATATTAGTGTCATGCAAAGAGGACTTTTAAACGATCAAGAGTTCGAAAGTCTAGAAATATGCGCTAAAAGACGATTTTACACATCTTTGAAAGTTTCATTTCCCATTTCTAGGTGAGAGAAAACAAACAAACAACTTGCAGGGTCGGCAGAGAGACATTACATCCACGTGGCGGTCAAAAAGGACGCATTGCAGGCCCGTTTAAAGAATCAAAACACCTAAAAAGACATTAAGGACTATCCTAAACGCAACGAAACTGCTTGTTTGCTATACCAACAAGGAACTACTCGTTCAAAACGACGAAATGTGTCGACCAAAAACGCGCGAAGATCGAAGGCTGTCAGAAGGAACTCACGGCCTCTATACAGGACAAAACAACGACGCTCTGGTGATATCCCATGTGGCCACACAACTTGCCCAAATAGGCGACAAACTGGAGTTAACATACCAAAAGAATAGCCAGAAAGATCAGGACTATTTTAGCATAAAAGCAGTTTGTGTTATGGCGGTTTTTGTGGCGTTACGTTTGGCTCTTTGACCAGCAAACTACGAGGAGTGCCATGAACTTTGAACACGCATATACAATCCTTAAGATCATGGCTTTACTGTCGTWAACGGTCAATTCCAATAGCAGGCTAGATTCTTCGTGTTTATTGCTGTTCAACGCGCTGTACGACTCTCGCGCAAAGGAAACGAACATCATGTTGTAAGCCCAGTAGATGATCTTGGAAGTACTGCACAATGGCGGCGATCATAGCGGTCGAAACTGGGTGACTACAAACCAGGGAAAGCAAGACTAACTGACAGGGTAGAAATAAGCTTTATCGAACCAATTCATTTTGTAAATGATGGAATTAGAAAGCGTATGTTCCGGAGCTGGTGCAAGAGAAAGGTGTGAGCTTCTATACTAACGCCATATTATTTTTGATTCGAACCAGAAGAAATTTATAAATTCTATTATTTGCTGTAAAAAAGCAGAAAAAAACTATATAAAAAAATAGAAAAATATAGATTTTGCGAATGCGCGCTTGAAAAGGTATCCTTACTTGCAATCAGAAGGCAAAGAAATATCGTAAACAAAGCCAAATCCCGATCGTAAATCCAACTCGCTGAACTTAWACCCTCAAACTTACAGGAACTGGTGGTAGAAAATAGTTGAACCTTCAGAATATTTTAGTGCATATGGAGCCTGTGGTAAGAGGTTTAGAGTTAGACAACAGGATTCTACCAAATAAGACATGCTATATGCTCTAACTTCGAGATTAGTTTCGACGACATCAAGAATTCTGCAGGATGTAGCAAACCCGGAAGCCCAGTTATTGCAAAAACCGGGCAAAAAACCTCTGCGTAGGTGTATATTTTCAAATTCACTGTAATMGAGAGATTTATGAATGTGCACCGAAGAAAAATATTCTGAAGTATATGAAGCAAAGACTGATTTCWAACGCTAATAAAAATGACAGGACAACACGAAGCATGTTTGACTGAGTATCTAACAATTTATCTCTGTTTAAATTCATTGCCCTAGTAGAACAACGCTAAAAGTGTTTTATRTTACAGACGACTTATCGAGTTTATATGGATATTACATGGTTTTGATAACTCGCCATCAACTTTGAAAAAATACCGAGGACAAGTGAACCTGAAATCTCATATAGTACATGACTTCAATAAGTTTAAATCGAAAACGATTAGAAAYATACTCAGATTTCTTGTGCAATATAAGCTATCTACGATTTTTTTTTCATCTTTTGAGATAAAATACATGTATTGTTTTTAAGAAGACTTTAAAAAGGACTTTCAAACTATAAATTCCTTGGAAAAAAGGGAAAAGAGTGCAATGGTTTTCAGAGGAGTAGATGAGTTGAAGGCTTTTATTCCTGCATGACACATACATGTTTTTAAAAAAATAGTCGGCATTGCGCGTGCTAAGGTAATAATTTAGTCACTTTTAGCATTACTGGAATTGAAAAACGTAGTCCATTGCTAATGTTGAATATGCAGACCTATACGATCAACGACAAGGATATTTTCCTCCTCTGCCATGTTCAAAATGTGCCTTCACTTTGCCTGTCATTGAACTTGTATTGTTTTGGAATTGTGTTACTTCACAAATTTCGCGCAATCTCTTTCTTCCCTCTTATGCTTGCGAGAAAAGAGGTTAAATCACAAAGTTTGTCTTTTCGTCCTGCCGCAGACAGTATGTTAGAGTACAAAAAGATAAGAAAATTCATGTCGCAACATGTGAAGACTTGTCAACAATCTCTGCAACTTTGTAAGTCCATTTGGCTTCGCGGTTTGGCGCTGTTCGGGGATACATGAGACTGGCCAGTGCGGCCTAGTTTGGAACACAATGACGTTAGTCTTCAATTGAGTATATGTTGTTGATCAAATAAGATCGTTTTAACATAAAATGCTCGGTCTAGACCACAAACTATAACTACGAAAAGCTGACATGCAGCCTCCGAGAAGAAATGGCCACACATTTCACGATAAGCTAAGCACTTCTTCAAAAACAAAAAAAAATCGTTTTTGACGACTTTTTCTTCGATGCCAAACGCGCAAGACATGAAAAGGGAATATTATCTTAGCTTTTCTTAGCTCCATCATGTTCTAAGCAAACTGCTTTGAAGGTMGTTTAATATGTTTGTTGTTTTTGTGTGTCCGTGCCATACGAAGGCTTAGCCAGTCCATGGTACAATTATTTCATCCCGTTTCATTTTGGGTTTTCATCGCATAACAATGTTTCTTGTACTGCTGACAAGATGAATTTAAAACCGCAGAAGATTGTACCTTTAAGTTGAAGCTGTTTATAAGGAAAAATAGTAAAGCTTTGTTCCTCAATTATTCTGTCAGTATTTATTGCACATCTTGCTTCGTTACTTGGATTTTCCAATGATAAAACACTCCATCGATCAGTTGAGAGCTAAAAACATCCCATGCATTTAATGTTTTTTTTGCGATTTTAGGATCAGACYTAGAGTAAAGTTTCCATTTTTTGTGAGCTGCAAGCAAGTATTTGTTATTTTGAAGTTAGCAACCTTTTCCAGCTAAAATATTGCAAGGTTATTTATCATGAATATCCAACTTCGTAAAACATGAAGAGCTCTTCATCCTCACCGTTTTCAGAACCAAAATGTTCTTACTGGAGAAGTTAGCATAAAAACATCGACTGTTTCACTCAAAGAGAAGGCCTTTTGTTTTGTTTTTAAAACAAGATCATTTCAAACTAAAAGACTTTTGTGAAAAATTGATTTTTGCTGAACAAGCCATTTGTGTTACAACGTCATGCGTACTAAAAATAAAGAAAAATCCYCGAAAAAAATGAGCAGAATAAACGCCAAAAGTTGCTGAATACTAACATCAAAAAGCTATGTCTTTGCGAAAGACTTTTCCTGAATTATTACTCTGCAATTGCTGCCAAAAACCAAGTCTTTATTGTGAATTCTATCCGCCTTTACAAGCGTTGAACTCAAAGTACAACGTTAGTCTTTTTTGCTCATCTTTTGAAAAAAAAAAAACTAAATTTCTTCTTTTCGCCGTCGGAAAACAGTTRAATAACATCTCTTGAGAATATCATTGTTGTTGTTCTATTTTTTGAATTGTTAGCTTATTAAAAAAATACAAGAAAATATGAGATTCTGCCAAGTATTAACCGAGAAATGCGCATAAAATAGTGAGTTGTGTGTGCGTTTTAAGACCCATCTTACATTTCCTTACTATTGAGAGACATATATGTATTTTTTCGATTTTATTGACACTTTTGTTCAAGTTTTGCTTTCCATTAGGAATATAGTGGTAGATTTTAGATTTCCGCATCGAGAAATTTAGATTTTTGAAAAGAATAAGTTCTTGGTGCTGGCKATTCTTTCGACCATGGATGAAGTGTCAAATGTAAACACASTGAACGCACTTTGCATAACATTATATAAAGAAACTCACTCCATATCTAAGATCTCTCTCTTATTCAGCACAAAAAACSACTGAAACATCCCTTGCAAATCGACTTATTTCAAAAATTWACACCATCTCTTCAGTTTGCCTTCTCGAAAACCCTAAAAAAAATTCTCAATTCTTCAAAAATATTCAGCAGGTGTAGAGATCGTCGTATAGGAGTTTTCTACATGCATGTTATGATAGAAGGCAAAATAAATAATAAGAATTACATGGAGATTTCTCGTTATCCTATTGGTCGCTATTTTCGTATTCTGTCACTTGACTAAAACCTAAGGCCTATGAAATGACGGCTCGATCCACTGCGAAACCTTGGCCCTTTGGAAACAAAAGCCCTTGACAACAGTCCTTTTAATCAACCAATCACAGCTCTGGCTCCTTATAAACATATGAATATGTTTGATGCCAATTAATTTATAATGAAAAATAGTGCGAGGGATCGGGTCTGGTAGCAGTGGAGGGGTCGGAAAGCGAGAATCAAGAGCTTTCGTCTCGTTGCTATGAGTGTAAAATTCGCACTTCTTCTAGAGGATCAGCTGAAACTTTACTCCGTTTATTTTTCAACTTCTATCAATGTATATAACAGCATAATGTTATTGATTTAAGTTGTTTTAAGCCTTGTGCAATATTTGTTCAGAAATCTAGATTACGTAAGAAAATCTGATAGAAATAAAGATGGAAAATGAAAGAAATCTCCATCAGTTTCGTTGTAATCACTTTGTGAGAAAATTAGTTGTTTTTTCTCTGCGCGACTTGAGCTGTTCATTTCCGGATCGCAACAATTGTTTCAGCTCTCTGGAAGGTTGGAGGAACAGCATCTCTAGCGGCCTAACCGGACCTAAAGACGGCCACTGAATAACGAAAATAATCAATCGAATGTTACTAAACTTTCCTTATTTTTAAACCAGCGAGTGGTAGATCATATCGCTCAACATCAAGCATTCCTTAAATTTTAGTATTTTTCTAGATTATTTTTCTAGCTCAAACGCCTCGTACCTGGTCTAGGTTCTTCCTACCGTCTGTCCCACTGTTCTCAGCTCATCTTCTTCTTCTGCCATTTCATCTCCACATCGAATATATAGCTTAACCTCGCTACTTCCATGCCAGCCAGCTTGGCAGGCATCTATATCAAATAAATTTAAACACAGAATGATTTCAGAGACAGACTCGACCAAGATGAGATATTTTTAGTGCGCATGCGTASWCTGGGACGTGACAGGAAAAWAWTTTTCAACAAGAACAACGTCACGGAATCTATGAGTCATTGTGGCGGATAACATATGTAGCCATTTTACTGGAGAATTGCTAATTTGTTAACATGGTAATCCATTGTTAATGATAGCCGATTTGTCGTTGCTTTTCTACGTAGKCAAATCGTTTGTGATAATGTCAACAATAATTCAGTCCCACACGGAAAATTATATCTACAAAATACAGGCTTAAACACTAWACAAACAAACCAATTTGGTTTTYGCTGATTTTCTCCAAAGAATAGACCTTATAGCTTTTCTTTTTTGAAAGTTTTTATTTTAAAATTGAGCATAATATTCTAACGGTGAGGGCATTCCAAAATAAGCCAGCAAATCGAGATATCTGTTGATTTAAATATKCGACAACAATATGGAAATTMTCGTCCYTTAGGTGTCACGCAAGTTTCCTTCATTTTGCGTGGGAGGAAGAAATTATAATCAAGCGAAAAACACCTTTTCATGGCACATAAGAAGTCATTTCTCACAGCTAGAATTCTACACAGTGGAAATTGACTCAGTTCAGCTTTCAAAAACGGAAATTGAAGAAAAAACAAGCGTCAATTATTGAAAAAAAATTAAAAAATATAAAATTATTTTTTCCGTTTTCACTTTCTTTAACGACAATAGGGCGTCATATCAATCGTCTAAAGACTTTCTCTATTTTTTCTCACAATAAAACCATTACCCCGAAATGTAGGTATGTTTTACATAGTTTAAAAAAGTTTTAAAGAAGTTWTCTAAAGTTTAACGAACTTATAAAAGTTGAACAAAAACTTTCGCCGACTTTTCAATTGCAAAAGAGTCAAGTCATGCGCACAAGTGCCTTAATCAATTGCGCATGTGCCTAGAGAGAGACAATGAAACATGTGTAGGCAACGTTGAGAGAAGAGTCTCATTGTGCGCCGTTCTTCTATTCATGCAATTTCCAGCTCTAAATCACACGATTTCTCATCTGGTTAAAAGAGAGGCACCAAAATTGTTTTCAAATATGCAATTGAAGGCGTGACAAGAWCACCATTTCRTCGAGAAAACRTTTTTTCTTTTGGGGTTTCAGCGAGAAAGTGGCATTTTAACTGCAGTGATGCGGTGAGGAGAAAAGCGTTCAGTTCACCGAATGTTGGACTTRSCTRTGGATTGAATGTSAGTTGGTYCAATAACAAGAGTAGTTTGTGCCCATTTATGTTCATTTTGCATTATGATTCCTCCTTTCTTCAACGATGCAAAGTTGTTGTGCTCACTGGGCGATTCACAACCAGAGATACAAGCTCATTGTGGGATACCTACCGCGCACACAATGCCGAAATACATCGAGTCATTAGTTCAAGACCCACAAAGTAATGTGTTTGATATCAAATCTTAAATTAGAATTTATTTCTTTACGTTAAGATGTGAAGCGCCGATTGGAATCGAGGTATGACCTACTCTGGCATCTTTGACACAATGTTCTTTTATGCGGTACGCCGTATATCATAACGAAATATCCATTTGTACCACTCTACCGTCTTACTAGTTATGCTGTCAATGCGTATTTATTTTTCTAATATCAGTGCAATTATACAACAAGTTCAACACTTGAAATTCTACGTTAGAAAACGACAACCAGTTCGTCTCGGTATATTTATTGAAGTGCAGTGTCTTTGTTGCCAAAACATCTCTCATCGGCTCTCTCATCTCGTCAAGAAAGATCAGGCGTTTGGGTCTTTTTCTGCCAAGGCATACAAATAAACCTTTCTGACTATGTCAAGACCAGTACAAGTCGATAGTTTCACCTTGAAACGAAAACGAAATCACAGTTTAATCAGATCAACGTTGSAAACWCCCACGCTTCATTTCTTCTTGAAGCACCGCAAAGTATAGTCGTTGCGTTGCAAGGCTGTTCATGTCAAGCAAGTCATTTGAAAGTGAAATGTATCGAGTTGTAGGCAAAACCACGATGTGTAAATTGTTTTTAGAAATGTGAGCACCGGTCAGAGCAGTATTCTCTTAACCGGTGACACAAATCATTCAGACGTTTGTCASAGACCTACAGCAGCTTTTACAGATGTACTTGTTCTTCTTCATAATTTCAAGTGTCTTCGCTTCCAGTTGCAGCTCTGTCTGTTCCTGTTAACGTAGCAGCAAGAATTACAGGACTCCAATTGGGATAAATAACAAAGTTTGCATTATAGAAGACGGATAATTTCAATTAATGGAAACTTATTCACCGTCTTCTGCGACGTGTTGTTCTTGTGTCATCGTGTCATTGCGCACTGTTTTTGTACAAGTGAATTCACTTCAATAACGCATGGTTTCGATGGAAACTTATTCGCCGCGCGTTCTTGCATCTTGTTGTTAKCACCGTATATGATCATGTTATTGCGCGCTCTTTTCACGATATACAAGCCATTGAATTTAGTTTTCTTACATACATAATTTCGATGAGAATCTCTTTACCATGCGGTTCATGAATTACAGCCTGTCGTATGACCTTGTATRGCTGTGCGCACTTTGACAGCGAGCTATACCGTACCTCACTAACGCTTTACTAAATTGACATTAAGGTAACGCCAACTAATGCACTCAACAGGACRGGATGTATGGCAACGCACACTTCCCAGAATGCATCTGTTCACTACAATATAAATCCTAAATATCTGAACCAGCTATTATAATTCAAAAATATCTGTTCTAGCTTTGCGTCACTGCCGCAATTACATATGAAACAATTAGTTTGGTTTTCATTCCATCTTGAAAGGGCGGCTTTGTTCTTTTTGGTCTCTCACATGAAGCCACATTGGTCTAGTGATGTCCAAAAGACAGCCTGTATAGTATTTCCTTTGTTGTTTGAACTTAATGTTAACCCTTTGTGTATATATACCAGGCGTTAGCCACCTCTATCGGGCCAACAACCGTTAACAGTAATCACTGCACTAATGTTTAATTGCSTAGCTATGGATTATCTAAACGATGGGCGTATTTTGGCTATTAACCAAATGTTTGTGTAATGTGTCAAATATAAGCCTTTGTTATTATTGTAGAAAAAGGAAGGTATCTCATTGTTCTTCTACGATTGTGTATTTTAGAGACCTAAGATAAAGACGCCATACGATAAAGAGCTCCTTCTAATGATCTACTTGCAATAAATGTGATATTRGTACATGTACACCAAGATTAGTTTGATACATGGCTTTAAATTCATCAACAACCTTCTTAGAATCCAMTTGGTCATAAATCCAAGGACTTTGTTGTATTATACTTAACTKTTTAGCGATTGAAAGTTCTAAAACTTTTGTTGAAGTCTAAAAGTTTGAAGATTGTGATCTACAGACAATATGATCCAAGGTGTCGATCACGTGACGAAGTTCATTTTGATTTGGACATTGATAACGTAGAGGTAATTTTGCTTAGTAAGGCAATACTCCGTGATCCCGTTTGTGAAAAGATTTTGATGGCAGCTCACGTCGAGGTCAGAAAAAAAAAAGGATTCACACTGCTTAATGCAAATATCAATTCCAACTATTATATAGCCATGCTCCATTGAGATCAGAGTAAGGGGACATCTTTGGACAACTTAAAACAATGCTTAAAGATTTTGAAGCTATTTTGATTTGAGATCATGCATAATACTTTAATGATCTAAATTGCAGTAGTTTATCTTACGAAAATAATTATAACAATTGAGCGAACACAAAGGCAATTTCAAACATCGACTAGTTTGTCAAAAACATGACGACCCACAGGGTACACGTGTGATCTTTTGTCCTTAATTGATCGCAAACAAAAAACCTTAATCTATCCAAGGGTTACAATAAAAACACACTACTTATTTCATTGATTGTCGGCAAAGTCTCTAAATGAGCTATCAACAACTTACCAAGCACTTCGCCCCCTTAATATTTTATAAAGAACCCTGATCGCACGGAAACTATTARCTTTTGAACGATGCTGTAACCTTTTTTTACTGTGCGTAAAGACCCCATGCATGGCGAGGATTTGTTAATACTGTAGTCTCATCCATGTCCGTCATGTGAACAAAGCCATCTTAACTTTATTCTGCGTTGTGCAGACAACGAAGTGGACTGTCTGATTACTTTCCATAACGAGTAAATAAAGAATTATATGAATAAATGAAGTAATGGGAATTGGAATGGATGGATTATGGGAWAGATTGAATGGGTGAAATTATTAATGAATGGATGGATCGGATGAGCTATAGGGAGATTGAACAATTGAAGAAAGAACAGATATKGAKTGATAAACTTAAAGTTAACGTTAATCGATAAGTTCTGTTCTATAAACACGAAAAACGTCGATGACAGTAAGCGTAAGTGCTACCTTTTGCAGCAGCGTGTCCCTGCATATTGGCAGGTTTTATCACATTACKATATAAGCAGTAGAATGATATGTTTGTAAGCGGATGGTCCATTGAAATGAAAACTCTTCTCTTTCTGTCGTCTGTTTCTGCTAATGGTACAGAGTGAGCTTTTACACAGCGCATGCGCTATCCAAACCTTTAGACACAAAACTCTTTTTTCATACAGCGAATTTGCAAATTTGAAGAGTTTTATGATTACCAAAGATTGCTAGTTGAAGCTCATGTTTCACCACAGGAAGCCCAATCCTTTAGGCCCATTTTCTTTCATTTAGCTGCTGAAGAAATTGAACGTTGTGATGTCGGTGTTCATTATATCAATGATGATATAAACCGAGGAATTGTGAACACAGGAATTGATTGATAACACATTGCAAACTTTTGTCAGTTTTGATGGAAAATCTTTATCTTTGTTGTTTACTTTCAAAAGAGCCGCTACCTGGTTTCTATAACAAGCGATTTTAGATTAGCTGCCGGTGATTTTAATCTTCAGGGCCGGAAAACAGAGACGAAATCATTATAAAAATAGATTTTTATTATGAAAACCAAACCATTTTTGTTAACTTAAAGAGATAAGATASGTTTTGTTAAGTCGTTATTTTCCAAACTTATTCTCTAGGAAAGTATTATTAATCGTTGTCTTTTAGCCAAAGGAATCAAAAATACGTATATATTTTTTGGAAATCCCTCAAATTAGAGTTTTTACTGACCCACCCCTCCCTAGATATAATTTTTGGCGAATAGGCTTCCACGATCACATGGAAACCGGGACGTCAAACGGTGATAAATAATGGCGGAAAAAAGATTGCATTCAATATCTGTCAAGTCTACCCGCTTATATCCAACTTAAAAGACTCCAATGTAGATGAGCAACTTAGCACAATGCCCTGCAAGATTTCTGCGAGGTTTTCGTGGCGTTCCAGCCGTTTTGACGCTCAACTTAAACCATTTTATACCTGATAATTATGGGTATCACTTTGAGTAGTGAACCGAAAACATTGGATAGCACCAAGCGTAAGGACGCTAAAAACCCGTCTTTTAAAGGTGAGCCGAGTAATTTAATACCTATTTATAAACTAGACGTAAACAACTGCAGTGTTTTTGTTCCTTTTTGTTGTGCAAATTGTGTTTTTTTATTCGTCTTGAAAATGTTTTTGGAGGCACAACCGGTTGTTTTAATGTAACTAAGGGTCATTATAATCTTTCCTTAGCTTAAATAATTTATTTTCTTCTTCTGCAGAAGCTATAATAATTGGTATTTTACCAAATGGATTTTCTCCTAGTTCTCTAACTGTTTTTTCTGGCCAGGTATGTTGAATTTGAGTAATTCACAAATGCAGTTTTCACAATGTGCACTCGCGGGTAGTAATTTGTCTTGATGCATTTCAGAATTAGTCAAAACATTAGACCGGATATATTTTCCATGACAAATCACCGAACTTAGATATATGATATTAAATATGTCACCGKAGGAAAATAATATTGTTTTTGAAATCAAAACATTTGTTAATTGATTTGAACGAACARTAAGTGACAAAAACACCATTTATCTTATATCAATCAAATGAAAAGAAATTAAAAAGATGAAAATAAATTTCACAACAGAGAAAATCGTTTGAAACGAAAAAAACTCGTGAATTTGGAAATCCTTGCTTTTTATAAAATGATGAAACATTGGGGATTTGGTCTATTTTCCCCYAAGCAATTCTTTATAACAGCTGTTTTGCATTGATAAGAATTTTGATAATTGGACCATATTCTTGTATTTATTTTAAGGCTATTTGTTGGGAGTGGGATGYAGAAGATGTTGATATTGAACACAACATTAAACAGGTATCAATTTTTTTTCTCTCTGTGTCAACAACAATAAAATGATGAATTATGCACATTAACATCAGAAARAGGAAGAACACTTAGCGTATTTGCCTAACATTTCACATGTCAGTCAGAAGAGGCGGCTGATTTGTAATTTATCATTTTATCATGATAAATTTGAGAATTGACAAGAATATCATGCATGTTTTAATCAGTTAGAATTAATCATAAACACCTGGCAATGAAATATTTACATTTATTTGTAGTATTCCATTTTATCACTTGTAACTGGGGATTATATAACAGTCTGTATACCCCCTGTAGGCAATTAATTATCATATGGCTGTTTAAATGCTGTTTTAGGTGACTTTTAGTGATCATATACCAATACCTGTGCCTAATGGGTTGTGTAGTCAGATAGTGGGATGTACAGGGTTCTATGAAACTACCATAAATACTACAGGAACGTATCATTTTATAAGGTTGGTAGATTTTTTTTGTAGAATTTAAAAATTCTTATGGTGTCATTTTTTATTTTTCTATTCACTTGCTCATTTTTTCATTTATTCATTTTTTCACTTGTTCTGTTGTTCACTCATTATTCTCTACAGAATGTATTTTTTGATTGACTTGTTCATCTATTTATTGTTTCACTTCATCAGTGGTTCATTTTTTCATTGGTTCACTTTCTCACTTGTTTATTCCTTCTCCCACTCATTCACTTGTTTACTTATTCATTTTTTCATTTGTGCATTAATTCATTGTTTAGTGATGGACATTCCAGTGTGCGAATTGGAACTATAAAGGTTATAGAATCACCGTCACAAACAATCAAGGTTTGCAGTCAACTTTTATTATATTACAAAGTCTGGAGGGACATTCATAGGAAAATTATTATCAGTAACCAATCTGAAGCTGTCAGCTTCATTCTTTTAAAGCCAATCCCATTTTAGGTTTATTTGCAGTCTGTTCTTTTATTGGGCTTCCTGTTCCTTCACTTCAAACCTCAAAAAAAGAGCTGCAAAACAAAACAATGCAATGTGATTATTGGATAACTGCTCTGTCAGTTTTATTGCTGTCTAGGTTTATTGTTATTTGGTTGGTTTCTTTGGCCTGTTGTGTTTAAGTACCCCTGCTTGAAGCCATTACACTTTAGATATCCAAGTAGCATTATATGCTGGTTATWTTTAGGTGTCTGATCATAAATTTTCACCCAATTTTGTGGAAATTGGTGAAGGAGATTCAGTGACTTGGAAATGGGAAACAGATAAAGAAGACTTCTACAGATTACAGTAAGATAGATCTTGTGTCAGATTAATAGATGGGACAAGTRGATGGATGGATGAGACTGAATGAAAAATAGAAAAAAGAAAGAATGAATAAAAGGAAGAGCATTGGTATAATAAATGAATTCAAGTGAAATGAGATGGAAATGATTAAATGAATAAATGGAATGAACAAAAAGGTTGGGATGAATTACAGATGAACAAATTAGTGCTCATTTATACAATCATGTACTGTAGCTGTTTGATTTAAGAAATGTATTTCTAACAGATTTTGTCCAAGACATTGTGGAATAATCACCTCAAAAGTGAAGTATGTAGTATTAACATGACAACTTCTTAGTTTATGATGATTGTGTAGGACTTGTTACTTTTAGTTAATGTACTGTCTGTGAATTAGAAAGTACTCTGTCTTTAATCAATAGAATAATATATATAAATTTAAGTGTGGYATTCTAACTGAAATTTCCTCTTTGAATTTTTAGTCACACTCCTGGCAGCAACAATGCATCATACACTGAATGCTTTCAGTAAGTTAGAAAAAAAATGCACAGTGGTTTACAACATTTCAATAAACGTGTGCTGTACTCTTTTGTACAACAAATAATTAATACACTCTTAAAATGGTACAGTACTTTAACAGTACTCTGATGGATCTGTTTACTTAATAGGAATCCAGGGATGTATTACTTTACAGAGAACTCTAAAGATGTTTGTATTGTTAAAGTTGTAAAAAGATCAAGGTACTTTTCATGATTACCAATCTTATAACGTTATTGATTATCATGTAGACATCATCTACTAATCTCACAGCTTATACACCTCCCTGATGTCTTTATAGGGAGGTTTCAGTCATWATTCAAGACAATGGAGTTAAACCATCATTTGTAAATGCTTATGTTGGTGACAGGATTTGGGTTAGGAATGTCCTCACTAAGGTAAAACAACTGTTTGCTTTATACAAACTACTTAAAAATTTAAGTTAGCACTATAATTCAATAAGTACAATATGTACATTAGACTTAATGATTAATGCATTATATTCTCATCAGAATGAAGGAGTTATGATGATAAAGTCAGAAGATGGTGGTGTCCTTGTAAGTATCCATTCATACTCCTCTCATCATTCATCTTTTTCTTTGTAATAATTGTGTTCTATAGTGCTGTTTCTGTTTTGTTTTTGCACACCATTAGATAAGTCCAAAACTAGTGACAGAGAAAGACCATGCAAAGTTATAGTGACAGATGAATTTGTTTTTAACAGGTTTCTTCAAGGCGTCCTGTTTTCAAAATGGACAGGTTTGAATAAATAGTTTATATAATTATAATATACTGAGGCTTGTTGTTTCTTAGAATTGTAAAATGTGACTTTGACTGTGATGTTAAATGYTAAAATGTTAGATCCTGTGGTATTCCTTGGGGGCCAGGGAGCTGCAGCCTTTCACTTGACTAAATAATGCATTATTTATGTATTGTTTTTCTWTTTTTAGACAACCAAACCTGCTGTCGTACTGTTTTTCCCTTCCTGGTATTTATAGAGTCACATTCATATCTGGTTTGACTACTTTATGCAGCCTTGTTCTTGTACAACCAAAACCAAGCGACTATGTAGTCCATGTAAACAAACAAGGATTCTTAACAGGTACTGACAATAACTATTCTACAAATAGAAGAATCTTATCATTTTGTACATTGCAGATCTATTATTTCATTCACTTATTCATCTGCCCATTTTTTCATTCATTCATTTTCTCATCCGTTCCTTTCACTATCCCATTAATTCATCCATTTTATTTCATCATTAAAACCATTTATATATTTATCTGTTTGTCTATTTTAAACAATAGTCTGTGTATCATATATTTTCTAGAGCTCGGAAGTATGAAACAGGGGGATAGAATCTGGTGGGTGTGGTCACAAAACCAGAATGAAAAACATGGATTTCTAATTTCAGAGGTATTTTGTATTATTTCAGTTACATCATAAAAATCTAAAGATTGATCAATTATGAGCTACGTTTAAGGGTTAAATTCAAAGTAAATTGCCTATTTTTAGTGGATGTCGTGGAAGCTGTTTTTGTGCAGGTTCAATCACAGCTCGGGGGTGCATCTTTAGTGTCTATCAATCATCATCATCATCATCTTGTTTCCCGCTAGGCACATGTCTGGCCTTGGGGCGCTCCTGATGGGGGTAGACTAACGTCCATCAGTCGCATGAGTTCTGTTTTTGACATCATCGCTCGTCTGGCTTGAGTCCTGTCAACACTTAGCAGTTTTTCAATTCAATCATACCACAAACATGGCCAACATTCTTGTGCCTTTTGRATGTAAAGTGCTTGATTTAATTGCAGTAATTTTGATAATGTTTTGTCCAATTCCAGACAGAGAGAATGCTACTGGGAGACAACACTAGCAATAATGAAACATGCCCTTGTACAGATGAAAGAGAGCTTCTTWCCTCCATTGGTCAAATTGGTGTGATGTCATCAGTTACTGACACGCCAGGCCTGTTTTCTTAYCGAYTGAAGGAAATAGGGGARTGGACACTAGCAAAGCAGTCACTTTGTTCTGTCATTATTCAAAGTGTTTCAAAGGACCATATTGTGCAAGTTAAGGATCACACTTTTCATCCTCAAATAGTTAATATACAKCCAGGTGATACTGTGACATGGGTATGGCGTGACACTATGAAGTCACACAACATCCAGCAGGTAATCATGTTCAAATACCTTATGTGATGTTTAAGCACATTTTCATTTGTTTAGGTGACTTGTATGCTTTTTTATTGTACTTCAAAGGAGTCTGAAAAGTGTCAAACATTGGCAAAGCTGATTTTAAAAGCATACTGCACACTCATCTTAGTCTGTTATATTATATTATAACAGTTATAACTTATTGTTTGTCCAGGTATCTCATGAGAGAATGGAAGTGGATTATGGTTTCCATAGTARCTGCCTCAGCCGCTCTCCTGATGCATTTAGTCACATATTTACTGATCTTGGCATTTTCTACTTTGCCAGGTAAATGTGAGGATTACTCAGGTTTTTTTAATGTCATTAATATCCAGTTTGATTGAAATCTGGTCATGATATTTTGTTTTGTAGTAGTAACGTGTGTGGCGCATATGGCGCAGTGATAGTGACAGCAGGGAATCAGGTATATTGTGAATACTTTTATTGTTCTGTGCTGATCCTGTTATCTCTTATAATTCATAATACTCCATTTTCGAGATCTTATTTGTGCAGGCTTATAAAACATTGTAGTATTGAAAASACAAACTAAAGAAGATGACTGAAGGCTGTCCGATAATGATTATTATAATTGTTCAGGTTGCTAACTATTAACATGAAATAGAATTAACAGTAAAAAGTGTCCACCATTCTAGGATGTCAGCAGTTATCTCATTTTTGACAGGTGCATAAGGTAGAGGTCACTCTTCATGGTGTGGATCCTGATCCTGTGGGGGTGAGGGTAGGGGATCTTGTTTGTTGGAGATGGAACTGTGATGAACGATACAGCATCAATTCCATACAGTCACCAGAAGAGATTGAAGGCATTGTAAAGAATCAGCCCGTCCCTCCCCCACGGTAACTTTATTATAGACTCATAGAAAGAAGTATTGGCATTCATAATAATGTATATATTTTGATTGTTATTTAAGACGCTGTTTGGCACAAACCTTTTCCAGGCCAGGACTTCATCATGTTGTGACGACAGCATATCTGCAAGATGAAAATGAGGTATTCTAACTTTTGTATACATGTATCATCATCATCATCATCATCATCAGCGTCATCATCATCATCATCATCATCATCATCATCAGCGTCATTATTATTTATTATAATTGATTTTTTTGTTTTTGTCATTTTCCAGTCAACCTTCCGACCATGTGATTCATTTCTCAACACCATATATGTTGAGCATGCACCATATTCATCTCGTATCAAGGTGTCTTGTGATGGGTTCCAGCCTGACATGGTTGTACTTGCTAAAGTAAGATGAGTTTCCTACTCACAAGTCTCTCATTTTTGAGTGACAGCATGCATCAAACCAAGAAAGAAGCTATATTACACTACACACCTTTAAAAAAAATAAATGTTTGTTTCCTCATACTTGTATGTAATAATGATATTTTTACACTCAGTGTCCATTCATGTACATGTATAGTTTCATTGATCTCTCTTCTTGTCTTGTTAGTCTGTTGGTCTTTCTTGTCATGTGAAAAATGTCACCTGTGAAGGAGAGACTAGCCRTACACATTCTTCACTTTTTTTCATTTTATTACCATTTTAGCATGATAGCATTCTATGGTACTGGGACAATTCTRAAGAAAAGCATAACATTGTACTGGTGGAGAACCCCAGAGGACGAGCTCGACCAATCACTACCCATGGTCCATCTTTCTTTGAAAGTGGTCCTGTCGTTAGATGTAGTAGTTTCTTTCATACCTTTGACACACCAGGTTCTTATTGGATCACTTCACATGGTACTGATGGAAAGACCTGTCGCATTGATGTACTTGGTGAAGGTTGGTTGATGGATAAAACCTGAAAATCGTTACATTGTGTTATTTTAATAATTATTCATTACATTTTTTTGTAGCAAAGCGGTTACTTGCACCTGTCATCKCTAGTGGTAATAATGGCGGAAGTGTAAGTTTACATGATGTTGATATTAAACATTCTAATTATTGAAATAAATAAGTGGACATTTTGGAAAGTATACACAGCCTGGAGGTAGATTTGACTTGTAGAACTTGGGCTTGATTATCTTATTAAATGATTTGTGAACCTTAGGTCAACGCACAGAATTTACAAGAAGAATTAATATTAAACTTATTGTTAGCAAATTTTAAAGCATGTAAGTGTATTTACGCTGTACGTAAAGGACACATCACAGCCTTGATAATAGTTGATTCTGGTAATGATTACAGGTTGAAAAGGGGTACACGGTAAACCTAGTATGTGATGATAATGATGTACAGATACTATACACTGTGGATGGGACTCAACCAGGTCAACAAAACCCAGCCACTAAAGTAAGTATATATTGTAAAACCATTACCAAAAGTGTCATAATCTGTAGTGGTGTCTGTTGCATAGAGGTGTCTGTAATATAGGAGGTGTCCGTATTTAATATAGAGGTGTCTGTATTTAATATAGAGGTGTCTGTAATATAGAGGTGTCCGTAATGTAGAGGTGTCTGTAGTACAGAGGTGTCCGTATTTGTTATAGAGGTGTCTGTAATATAGAGGTGTCTGTAATATAGAGGTGTCTGTAATATAGAGGTGTCCGTATTTGATATAGAGTTGTCAGGATTGGATATAGAGGTGTTTGTATTTAATGAGGTATCCGTCATATACTGCTATTTCTTATATCACTCTTTTAGGTATATGATAATGAGGAAGGCATAGTTTTATCCCAACCTGGTCTGTTTCTAGTACGAGCATTATCTACAAAAGATGGCTGGATTAACAGTAGAACGTTTACTTCAAGGTACAAGTTGTTGTTGTTGTAGTAGTAATTGACTATTACCGTTACCGTTACCGAACCACTTCGCACCCAGTGGTGCCAAGGCCTCCGTCCACGTTTTTGCTTAGTAATTGAGTATGCTTGTGCTAAGTTTACTGTACTTCTTCTAGACGATTTTGGGTCTTCTGCGAGGAAGAGAGTGAGGYAGAGCAGAAGCATGAAGAAAACGAGGCCGAGCAGAGGGATAAGGATCAGCTTGAACTTAGAGAAGAGGTGCAGTACTGTTTTGGATAAATAATTTAAAGTAACAAATTACCAGAAATGACGTTATCATTAGTACAAGTTCATTTATATTTCATTTTCAAATTACAAAATGTTGATCTTTCTTTAGATCTCTAACTGGCAGTGGTTTAGTTGTATTCCATCCATCTCTTTCTTTTTTGTACATGACAATGTCATACACATTGATATCGTCTTATCGAAGATTGTTAATCACTCATTCATCGCTGGATTTCAAGTAAGTAATACCGTTTGCGAGATGTCATGCATCAAATCTCTGTAATATAGTCAACTGTTTTTATAAGGGACACATTCAGGCGCGTTTTTTTTATTCAGGAGCGTAGTAAGTGTCTGTAGTAGTGGATGTCTGTTCTTAATGGAGTAATTTCTCTAACTACTAACAAGGTGTCTGYAAAATTGAGGTGTTTTAAGCAAGAGTTTAGTGTATATCATATTTACCGTCTGCTTGCTGTGATCTTATTAATCAAGACATTGTACTTTATCTTAGCTTTACATCAATGGTTCTCCATATGGAGACTTGCTGAGAGCCAGCTGTCCTGGTGTACTGGTCAGCGGTCTAGCTGGTTATAGAGTCTACCACATGGTTCTTGTCGTATTTCCAAATATGGAGCAATTCCGTCCACAATTGTCCAATCAAATAGTTGTTAATTGTCCACCGTTGACATCTGTCGGGGGTCCTCTCATCTCCTTGGAAACGTGCAGTCGCGTCGATGCTGTCGTCATTGTATGGGCAGCCAATCACAGCTGTCAATATGCTGTTTTGATTAATGGTCAACCAATGGGAGAACAGGTAAGGATTATTGATTGATTCGACTGGCTGACCAAGAATTTTTCACCACCGRTATTTTTTTATTCATCTAGTTTTATCCAGAACCTGACATAACGTATTGTCGCGTACTGTTTGAAATGGAGCGTACAACTAAAGACGAACAGACATTTATGATATGTGTTGAGATGAAACAAGAAAACAACCAGTCTTTGTTCTCCAACGAAATCCAGCTTTCCCTTCCTCTCCCAGAAGAACTCGTCAACATCAATCAACCCCCAAATGCTGCTAGTGAGCTTGTTTCAGACGAGAATTTATTCAAGGCTCATAATGATGAATTACAAAGTGCTGTCTCGTTCAAAGGAGAGAGCACTAGTAGCCAAGACCAAGAGAAACATGATAACAATGACGAACAAGGTCATGGTGACATCCCAAGGGAGCCTGCAGAGCTGCTTATCGTCTCCGAACTATCACCCAATAGCAATGATCCCGCGCCAAAGAGCGAGGTTTCTCATGTTTATAAGAATAACCTTGATACAATTCACGAAGACAAACAACTGGAAATTGTCTTTATCCCGTTTAATAAAGAAATTGATAAAGAGGAGATTGCTCAAATTAGCGAACAAGATGGTGTTGAAGAACGTGAATTGGTTGGTGGAGAACTGGACACAAATGGTGGAGAAGGCGATGTCGCTGATGGACAGCACGACGACATAACTGGAGAAGTACCCACTGATACTGGTGAGCAACTCGATTTTCGTGAAGAACCTGAAGAAACTGGAGAAGAAGCCAACATAAGTGGTGAAGAACACAGTGATACTGGTGAAGAGCCCAAAGATACTGATGAAGAACCCAGAGATACCGGTGAAGAATGTCCTGTTAGCGGCGGAGATGTCAACCTCAGTGATGGAAAACAAAAGGAGCAGTTAGATAGTGAAATTTCCACAATTAAACAAGTCATTGACAACGAATCTTATAGCAAAGAAGTCGAGGACAACGATGACCTTGGTGGAGAA